TTTCTTTCTTTCTTTCTTTCTTTCTTTCTTTCTTTCTTTCTTTCTTTTTTGTTTTTCTTTCTCTTTCTTTCTTTTTTCTTTCTTATCTAATAGAAATAGAAAGTAATTTAGTTCTTGGGATAGCAATACCAATAGCACTTAGACTTATATACCGCTTCACAGTGCTTTATAATCCTCGCTAATCATTTACAGAATCAGCATATTGCCCCAACAATCTGGGTCCTCATTTTACCAACCTCAGAAAGATGGAAAGCTAAGTCAATCTTGAGCTAGTGATCAACCTCCTGGCAGTGAGCTGAATTAGTCTGCAATACTGCACTCTAACCACTATGCCACAATGGCTCTTTGTGTTGATAAGAAGTTTTTTGAAATCTTAATCGAACTACTTACATTATGTGTTATTCATGCTTAGAAGATAGTAAATAAGATATATGTGTATGCATAAAAATAACTTCAAATTGTTGTAGGCATAAAAGTAATTTAAATTACTATAAATTGTAGTAAATGAGGTATCTGTGTAGGCATAAAAGTAATGTCTGTTGTTGTTCAGTTGTTCAGTCACTTCCAACTTGTGGTAGTCTGATTGACATAATCTTTTTCAGAATAATCTGTCAGTAACTGCTTTTTTGAGTTCTTGTGAGGTCATTAAAATTAAACCTAATCTAAATATTCACCAGGTCAATTTCAGAAGCATAGAAAATGTACTTAAAAGCCTGCTAGTTAAAAAAAATAAATACAAGGAAAATAATATTTTTCTTTTCAGAACTCTTATGTTCTGAAAACATCGAGTTTCTTTGATACCCTTTTAAATTGTTTAACTATCCTTCAATTTCAACCTATTTCCAATCAAGAAGCAGCGTATTATGCATGATAGTGCTCCAGAATATCAGGAAATAAACCTACTATTTTCACATATACATATACATATACATATACATATATGGAAGACGAGAAGAAGGAACTGGGACCTTCCCAGGACCTTCCTCTCTAGCAATGCCTTCCTCCCCAGGACCTTCCTCCCTGGTAATGCCTCAGGTTCCATCAGACAACCGAGAGGTACAGCCTGAGATTAATCAGGAGGAAGGCATATCGGAGCAGCCCCTGACAGGGAGTAAAGAGGAAGAGTGTTGGCTCGATCCTAAGCAGTGTCATAGGGAGAAACGTGAGCAGCAACGTAGGAGGCGTGGGAGGGTCAGAGAGTGAGCTGAGTCATTGAGCCACACTCCATAGGGGATAAAAGTGGGTGCATTTTCTCCTGAAACTTTGTACAGGACAAAGTTTAACCTTACTTCAGATTTTCTTTGTGGACTGCCTTGTGATTTTCTGTGAGTAAAATTTTATTTGCAATCAGTTCAGACTTGGCAGGCAGAAGGTGATGGAATGCCAAGAATATTATCAGTTCCAAAGAATTAACTCTGTGAAGTCTGAGCCAACTTGCCTGCCTGTGTTTGTGTGAGTTTGTACTCTTTCATCTTTTGGGAAAGAGGAAAGGCGAGACAGAACACACATACACACACACATATGTGTGTGTGTGTGTGTGTTTGTGTGTGTGTTTGTGTGTGTGTGTGTGTGTGTGTGTGTGTGTTATTCAACTTTGTTCGGGTATTTTCCCACATCATTATAGTTATGCTTTTAAAGTTGTAGCAACATTTTGGCAGAATCTCATCTGCCATCATCAGGCTTCTGCATTGTGTTCGTCTGTGAGTCAGGCTTTCACGCGGGAGAAAACCTGAACAACCAAAGATCCATACACACACACACACACACACACACACACACATAGATAGACACATACACACACATACATTCATATACATATTTACACACACACATATATAAAGAGAGAGAGAGAGAGAGAAATCTCCTACTTCTTAACCAGTATAAAACAAAAAGAATCTCAACCCAAAGAGATTTGTATAGAATTGTCAAATACATTTACTTTCAGCTCAACTTCAGTGGGGGAAAAATACAGTTAATGCTAGGTTGTGTTTCTCTTTTCCACTCATAACCCTTTAGGCCAAATTTAAACTTGACAGGAGAGGAGCCTCTTTGTCCCTCATGCATAGGAGAAAATGCTTGGGATAATTTATCCACGTGAAAATGCAAGCTGCAAGGTCACAAAGAGCATCAAAGATTGCTGAGTAAGTGCCAGTCAAGCAATACAAAGGTGCCTTGTTCAGCTTTACCATATGGAACCAATTTGTCTTATTCTTTTTCTGTGTTTTCTCTTGGCATGGCTACCTCTTACAACTGTCTTGCTTTTTTAGCATCCAATCATTATTATCCACCATATGAAAAAGACAGTAACTTTACAATGGTTCCTGATGTTGTTTTTCAGAACAGGGTATTGGGTTTAGAGGCTCTAGGAATGCTGAAATCTGTAGAGTGTCTGTTAACATGACCAAAAATGTAGTCAATCTGGTAAAATTACATTGGACTCATTCATGTTGGATTACATGCCCAATGGAACTGCCTCTAATTTCCTTAGAAATAATTACTAACTTAGTAATGTTCCTACTGGAAAAGCCACAGCTAGACTTTTGGCCAATAACCAAGCAGTAGCCTTGCTTTGTTCAAAAAGGGGAAAGAAAAGAAACATACAAAGGGCACAAAACACACCTTAAAAGGCTGCATTTCTCATTAGTTTCTGGAAGAGTAAAAGTCAAACACACTTCATCAGATGCATGGAGTTTAGGAGAATATTAAATAAAGCTCTTACTAGGGGAAAAGGAAAGGGAAAATGAGAAGTGAAAAAGTGAGAATTACCTTTGGTGATCTCTACAAAGCAGTAAAGTGATATGTAGATTTTTTTTTGCACTGCACAGCTTGTTAAATTATGTAGCGTCATAAGAAAAGTTAGTCATTCTTTAATCCATGATAAACAGTTTTGAATTTTGATCAGAATTCTAATTCTGCTATTTTGCATTAAAATGTGTATCAGTAAGGCTGTTTCTCAAAGATGGCCAGATGGAAGACAGTGACAGCATTTCCAGAGAAATTCAAATGTTTTTCTTTGGTTTTTAGACATTTTATCATTCTGTTATCAAATTTTGGCCCATTAATTTGGTGGGGGGAATATAGATTAGCAAATTTTTCCACTATCAATTACTATGATCTCTCTGTGACTTTCTTAAATTCAGCACTATTGAATTCCAGTGGCTGAACCTCTGGCAACTTCAAAAGGCAAGAATGATGGCTATTACAAGAAACAACTTAAAGGTAAATTTTGTAAACTTTTCTTGTTTAGCACTCAGGCAAATATAAATAAAATAACAGCTTAAAAGGAGTGGGTAAGAATGAAGAAAGGTTCCTGTCACAGAAATCATGTGAATAAACTGCAGAGAGTTAAGAGACACTGTAGTGTACCGATTAATTTGAAAAGTATAAATTATCTGCATCCTGCAAAGGAAACAATATGCTTGCAAATCTTAAGGCAATTTATGTTCTTGTACCCCAGATAAGGTCAGCTAAGCCACTTGCTGAGGCCTATATAACATTTTGATAGTTAAAACTAATGGACTGATTCAAGAGGCACAATGTTTTAACAATGAAATGTACACAATGCCACAAAATCATCTTGGTTGCATTTAGGTGGTTTCTCCTATTTCAGTGCTCACATTCAGCTGTTCCAAAGGACTTTTGATTTAGAAACAGGACAGGAAGAATGGTAGCTCACTCTCTCTCTCTCTCTCTCTCTCTCTCTCTCTCTCTCTCTCTCTCTCTCTCACACACACACACACACACACACACACACACACACACACATCACTTATTTCCTGGCATGGTTACCTTCTTCCCTTCAAGTCTTCACCATCCCCTGCTACAAATTCTACAAATACCAAGGCACTAATCACTGAAATAAGCTTCTATCAATTAGCCTTCAAGTGTATGTTTCAGTTTGAATAAATTAGTGATTGAAAAATCACCACAGTTTTATTTGAATGCATATTAGCAATTAGCTAACGATCCAAATACTATAAACCAGCCTTTCACCATCCAAGGCCCTCCAGTCCCCAAAGCTGTTGTGAAATCACATGAACTAGAAATCTACATATACATATGTAGAGAAATGTATTACAGAGATGTCTTCTCTCTGGACATTCTTCCACTGTGCTAAGAAGGGATCGTGACAGCAATGACAAAGGGCTGAGGTTCCAAAATGGATAGAAAGAAAAAGTTTTCCTGTCTAAAAGATCATATACTGTATTAGGAGAGATGTAAGAAAAGCAAAGGAGAAAATGAAAGCAACTAAAAAAGTTTGGTGCTCTGTAATAGCAATAGCAATACCACTTAGACTTACACCATGGCAAGAGTGGCAGTGGCACAGTGATAAGAATGCACTTCTGCAGCTACTTCTGCTGACTGCCAGCTGACTGCAATTTGGCAGATCAAATCTCTCCAGGCTCAAGGTTGACTCAGTCTTTCATCCTTCCAAGATGGGTAAAATGAGGACACAGGTTGTTGGAGGCAATATGCTGACTCTGTAAATCACTTAGAGAGGGCTGTAAAAGTACTGTGAAGCAGTATATTGTTACATACCACTCCACAGTGATACAGACACAGATAATCAGAGTTGGAAGGGACCTTGTAGGTCATCTAGTCCAACTCCCCGCCCAAGCGGGAGACCCTACACCATTTCTGACAAATGGCAGTCCAATCTCTTCTTGAAAGTCTCAACTGATGGCACTCCCACAACTTCCGAGGGCAAGCTGTTCCATTGATTGATTGTTCTCACTGTCAGAAAGTTTCTCCTTGTTTCCAGGTTAAATCTCTCCTTGTTCAGTTTCCATCCATTATTCCTTGTCTGGCCTACAGGTGCTTTATAAAATAGCCTGACCCCTTCTTCCCTGTGGCAGCCCCTATAAAGTAGTGCTTTATACTACAGCATTTACAACATCAGCATTTTATCCCCAACAATCTGGGTCTTCATTTTACCAACCTCAGAAGGATAAAAGACTGAATCAACTTCAAGGCTGGTCAGGACTGAACTCTAGGCTGTGGGCAGAGTTTGCCTGCAAAACATGCGTTCTTACCATAGCACCACTAGGACTATTTGATTTGACTGTGCTGATTATATACTTTGAGTCTTTTAAAACTCTCTTGTCCTAAAAGAGAAGCAATAACTGAGCCAACTGGGTTGCCTTTGAGAATTGCATTTCAGAAGGTTCTCATCAACAAGGTGACAAATACTAGGTGCCATATTTTGCATAGTTGCATATTTTTCATTATTTCTGCCTTGACAACAAGGCCAACAAATGGCTCTGTTGTTAGAAATTTAATTAGAATGAATTGAAGAAAGTGATAGTTGTGAATCTGGTGATGCTCAACGGTGGGTAAAACAACAACTAATTGTTTTCCTTAGAAGAGAAGAAGAGATTTTGATAGATGGGGTTAACCCTAACTCTAACTCTAACCCTAACCCATGGTCTCCAAAGTTTGGTAAAGCAAGAGAAGTTCTTTACTCCTGACTTCCCTTACCCCACCATTTCATCCATAGTCAAGTGCTGCTCAAGTGATGGATGAGCTGGAGAAGTAAATCAGTAAAGGCTAATATCAGATATTATGTTCCAATACACTTATACAAATCAAGGGCTCTTGTTTTAGTATTTGCTCACAAAATGTCTGAATTTAATCAAACAAAATAGGGTTGTTCTTAAATGTTAGTTATTTGTTCTGATCATCAGCATAACAGGGGGGAAAATTCTGAGAAAAGCTTCTAAAGTTGCTTATAGATATTTTTGCACCTGAAGCGAAAAATCAAAATTATATGGACCACAAATCAATGCTTTAATGATAGAGAAAGGACAGTTTGAAGCGCTGAAATTATGCTCCCTCTGGATTTTACCTTACAAAATGATGTTTGCATTTTCCTTCCTGATAAGCCCATTCTTAGAGCTGACAGTTTTGCAGGCAATTTGTGATACTTCATTAGGCATATGTAAGGCTACTTTGATTTTTTCTCAGATTTCTTGGTAATTGTGGCTGGAATGTACTCAGTGCATGTAATTTTAGAAATTTATATTTCAACAAATAGTTATGTTCTTGGCATGCATGGCAATTATCTGAGGTTGGAAGATTTTATTTTTATGACTATTCAGATAAAGAAAAAGAGTAATGATCTATAACATCTGATCTAAGGCTGAGAATTTCTAGCTGACTTGGAAGAATGCCCTGATTGTTCCAGCTGAAGGACAATATAAATGTTGTGTGCATGCTGGAAAATTAATTCCACACATTTTTTATTTACAATGCATACCAAGTGCAGCAGCACTGCTTCTGTGCATTTTGCCAATGAAATATCTTAGCTGTGAATTAAAACAGCCTGAATTTTTTTAAGTTTGCAGGTAAGCTTGGAGGAAAAGGGTGCCATGCTTTAAAGAATACACTCACTTTACCTTTAGTGTATTGAAGAGTGTATTCTTCAAGCAGTGAAGAGGGAAAGGATTCGAAAAAGTTGGTCTGCTTTGGCAGTTAGAAAAGCAGTGTTCTACATACATCATATTCATGTTTTCATAACCATAAGGCTAAGGTTTTCAGAGAAAATTTTACAACACAGCCTTTTTCTCATCCCAGACTACAATATACAGGCAGTATACATGCATCTATAACTGTTCCAATTTTAAAGTAAACCTTTTTGTTCTTTATCCAACATGTCTTGTAATCAGATAGTCACTGGTGATATTGGTGATGGGCTGATCATTATGACAAATGTGCCCAGCTTCTACTGTCCACTTTTGTCTCTGCTGTCAACTTCCAGCCTATCCAGTCACCGGATCCTGTTCTCTATAACCTTCTGAAGGCCAGATGAAGGTACTTGGCTTCTACAGAAGAGCATTCAGGTATTGCACAATCTTCTTATACAGAAAGGTCTAGTATTTTTCTGACTTGTTTTTAGTCCCATGCTTTTTGGACGTGTTTTGGAAGGAGCAATAAACTTGTGTTTAAAAAACAGGATGAGCACATTTTGCCCCAGACTTAAACAAAAAGTACACAGGATTTTGCCAGCTACAGTACATGTGGCTGATTCTGTTTTGGGTCATTTCTGCTGACAGCAGCATTGCCTTCCTTTATTTATTACTCTGACCAGGAGGGTGGGGATCTACTTTTTCCACTCAATAGGATATTTCATGGTGTTGCTGGCAAACACAACTCACTGCCAGGACTCTCATGTGTACTATTGGGGAGATTTGGAAGCTGATGTTCTGCTACTTTCTCTGTTTAGCTGAGTATCAAATCACATGCATAAATGAGGGACATGGGTACCGGCACAGAGGAGCACCCCCCTGGATTCTTCCAAAGCCTCCACCATTCTTGTGACCTCTAATTTAGGATATTTCTGAACAATAAAGGAGAATATTTATAGTTCAGAGTTGAAAGGAGGTGTTGTGGCCTGCCGGCAGTTAGCAGAGCTGGCAGCAGAGTTGGACAGTGAGGTGGTTGGGAAGGAATATGGGCCAGTGCTGGAGGCTGAGGAAGGCTCAGATGAGGGCTCTGTGACAGAGGCAGAGATGGGGCCAGGTCAGTCTGACAGTTCAGATGCCTTTGGAGTCAGACAGCAGTGAGGCAGAGGAGCAGCTGGAGCCGGTTCCCAGCCTGCACATGTGCAGAGCTGCCAAAAGAAAAAAACAACAATTAAAAACTAAGGGTTGATGTGGGAGTAAAGCCACAAGCGGACAGTGAATGGCCCCTCTCATAAGGATTCAAAGAGAAGCAAAAAGGGAGGGGGCTTTTTAGGAAGCCATTTGTTGCAGCAGTGTGAAGATCTGTCTGTGCATCTCAGAGACTCTGTGCCAAGTCCTTCCTTGTCAGTACTGCGTTTGAAAATATTTACTTGGCAGCTCTTCAAGCTAGATAAGGTCTGTGCTCCTAATTACACCCTTGAAAGACTGTTTGCCAGACCTTTGGCTTAAAGTGAATGCAAGGAATTCACCTTCATTTAATAAAAGGGTTTTTTCTGGTACAAAGAGTTGGCTTAGTGCTTTTTGGGGAAGCCTAGGTGAGAACATTTAAGTGGAATTGAAATATTAATGGACAAATTAAAAGAGTAGGGTGAATTAGCAGGATTCAAAACTAATAAAAATGAGAGGATTTTAACAAAAATGTAAAATTAGATCAAACAGAATTAATAAATAAAATGAGTTTTAAGATTGAGAAGTAAAATATCTAGGTATCACTACGACAAACATAAACTGCATTATTTCAAAGTAACTATATTAAGACATGGAATGAATTTAAAAATATATATTTTAAGAGAGGAGAAATTACAACTGTCACTGCTGGGGAGAATTTCTGTGATAAAAATGAATATCTTGCCTAGAATGATGTTTTTGTTTCAGGCAATACCTGTTTTGACAACTGATGCACCATTTAAATAATGGCAGAAGGATATATCTAAAAATGTGTTAAATAAAAGGTGTTGCAAGATGCAAACAAAACAAGCGGACTGTATTTACCTGATTTGAGAATTTTATTGTGTTGCTGTTTGATTAGAATGAAACAATGGTTGCTACTTAGAAATGAAAGAGTTTTGGAGTTAGAAAAAAATGATGACCTGAGATTTGAGAGGCATGGACACTTGTAGTGCCATAAAATCAAGATTAATGTGGATTTTTAAAATCCTCATGTTAAACAGGCTAGATTGAGCCTATGGAATACAAAGAAACTCAAATTGTACTCAAACACACCCTTGTGAACAAGAACCATTATGTAGAAGAGAAACAAATGGATAACTTAGTGAGAGATGCTAGAATTTTGTCGAGGAGGATAAACAGTCAAATCAAGAGGGGTATAGTTGACAGTGGTTCTCTTATTTACAATTATTAAAAGATTTTAAGTAGACAAAATATTTTATGGTTTTGCAAATTGTAAGACAATCATGTATAAATTAGGAACATGTAATTGCTAAGTATACACTTCTATTGAAATTTGAAACAGAAAAAGAACAAGGGAAAAATTGTATGGTAAAATGGGCTATTATTTTGTTTATAATATAGAGATGGAACAATGGCAACATATATGGCTGACAGTATGGAAATTTACATTAGATTATAATATTAAAGGATTTTTTTATAAATGATGTACCAGTATATGTCAGAAGAGAAATTGTCTAGAATATCTAGAATGGTCTAGATTTTAGAACCTCAAAATGTATGAAGAAGGGACATTTTATCTTGTTTGGTGATTGAATAAATAAGCTAGAAAATTCTGGTTTCAAATACGTAGTCTATTTCAGGGGATTCAAAGATTAGAATGACAAAATGTCTCAGAGTGATTGATATCATGGATACTTTCTGGATGCCTTACATTACAACTGACACCAGAGGTTTTCCTTTTGGGATTAATGAACAGACTGTTGGAATAATGTGATGTAATTTTGTTTGTACATGATAACTGCAGTTAAATTATTGTATGCATATAGATGGAAAGATTAAGCATTTCACACAATAGAGAAATGGTTGGTAAAGATGGTAGAAATTGCTAGGTTGACTTCTTTGATATGCATATTTATTGCTGACTGGAAATCCCTTATGGATTTTTTTGCATGAAAAAAAAGTGAACATGTGATTTATGATTTTGATGATTAGACAGGATAAAATATACAAAGAGATCTATGTTGTAACCATAGAGCATGATGTAAATTTGTAATTATATAGTGCTTATAACTGCTATAAAAAAGATCAGAAGCTACTTCTTTGTATTTTTTCTTTCTTTCATTTTTGTCTTTCTTGCAATTTTAGTTTTCTCTTTGATTTTCTTTTCTTTTTCTTATTTTATATTAGTTTGTATTAACATTGTATCTTCCTTTTCTAAACAAATTATATACAGTATATGTGTGTGTATGTATAAAACTATTTATACTTTATTATATTTAAATTATATACTTAAATGATGATAGACAGACAGATAGATATAGATATAATATAGATATATAGATATAATATAGATTTATAGATATATATTTAGTCACAATAAGACATTAAGAGGCATAATAATCTCAACAGTGTTCTAAATTATCTTTCTGTAGATCAGGGGTGTCAAACTCACATCATTATGTTGTCATGACATATCATGACTTTTCCCCCTTCGCTAAAATGGGGGTGGGCGTGGCCAGCATGTAACACATCCGGCCCATGGGCCATGAGTTTGACTCCCCTGCTGTAGATGAAATAAATAGAGAAGCTGAATTTATTCAGGAAAGTTCTCCATTCGGAGTACTGAAATGGAAATGCCAGATGCAGCTGAAAGCAAATCAAAACAAAGCTGTGAAACCTACAGATCAATGTATGTACTTGGATGAATGATCCAGAAACTGCAGAATCAAAGAAACAGCATAACAATTTCTATCAGTACTTCTGAACTGAAGGGAGGCCAATTGAGCCCTTCCTTACATTTTGGTGAGGCAGGTGCAACTTCTTAGTTCACAGGTGCAACTTCTTAGTGTGAAGCTTATGTTATGGGAATCAGACTGACTTTGCTGATGGCTTTCCTCAAGCTTTAAAAATGGGATGACAGTAGTTTTATTACTTTTTTCCCCTCCACTTTTGTTAACATTTTTAGCAAAAATTAGTCTCCCTCTGAGGGAGAGGGCCATTTCTCTTTATATGATAGATTAAAAAAAGGAAAGGAAAGAAACAACAAAACATTAAAGACAATTAATAATTAAACAAAATTAAATAGAGCCCAAAATCATGGATTCTGCTATCTGCATTTTCCTTCCCATATCATCATCAGCCAGCTGGAAAAGGAACCAGACTTATTCTTTGTAATGTGTGCAGAAATAGTCTTGGGCACTGTAAGCAGTTGACTGGGAAAGAGGCTGTAACCAGGGATGGGATTCTACAGGTTCGCACCTATTCGCTAGAACTCGTTGTTAAAATTCTAAGCAGTTTGGAGAACTGGTTGTTAGGAGAAATTACTGGCCTAATCCTGTAAGGAAGGCAGGAAGGAAACATTCTGGTGTTGCTTACTAAAACTGCCTTTCCGTTAATGCCTTATTACATTCTTGGCAGGACTAGACTTCCTGTCTCAGGAACGTCTCTAGAGTTTTTTTCCCCTTCTTTGCTGGTACTTTGCTTGTATGGAGTGACCATTCAAAGTTACAATGGCACTGAGAAAAGTGACTTATGACCATTTTTCACACTTACGAGTATTGCAACATCCCCACAGTCATGAGAGGCCAGGCGAGGAAATGCATGCCTTGATATGAGTGATATTGAGTTGGCCACACCCAGCCAATAACATGACCACCAAGCCACATCCATCACCTGAGCCATGCCCACAAAACCGGTTGTTAAAAAATTTGAATCCCACCCCTGGCTTTAACTACCTTCTAGGTTGCTCAAATGACAAGCCAGGCTACTCCTGAACATATGCCTGCCAGTCTTTGTGAAGTCCAAGCTTGTTCGGAAGGTAAGAAGACATCAGAATATAAAGTGACAGCAAACAGCA